CTCTGTCGTCCGGCGGGCCCTGTTAGCAGCCGATGACACCTGAGGCTTATGGATTGCCACCCGCGAGTTTCCCCCTCCGTGAGACGTTAAAGACGCTCTTACATTCCGTGCACGAAGGCACGTTTGAGCCCCTCCGCAGGGCTCGGGGGGGGGTTGGCCTGGTGGAGTCGTCTTGCAGGCGGCCGGAAATGACGACATGGCCGATTAGGGAGGACGACGGGAGAGCGTTACGGGCCATCTCTTGTTCTCCGACGAGTGCAATCACGTACGTGTAACTATGGGCTTGACCAGGGGACGTCATTTGTCCAGCGTCTCGCCGCGTGTACTGTCCGAGTCATAGATGCCATTGGCAGCACATCGCGGTATGTGTCGGTTATGTCCACGTCCTGTACCACACTCGCATACCGCATTATATGCGCATGTCTTGGCTCTTACCCCGCACTCTGGCATGAAATGCGCAGATGTCTCGTCGCGTTCCTGGCGTTAACTGAAGTAGTTCGGTCGCAGGACGCATGTTAGCAACTGGGATGACAGCTAGGGGAACGCATCGACGGTGAATTCAGGTCTGGCAAGGTCCGGAACGGCGTTCGGGGGCTTCAACAGGCTGTCTTCCCAAGTACAGGCCCGCGCACTGAAACAGCTGGAAAGGGGTCCTGTGCGTCCCCTATGCCTGAGCCGGCGCGGGAATACGTTCCAACGGCGGATGACACGTTCCATTCACCTCTATTGACACGCTCCACATTCAACTTTTGGCAGATCGAGTCCTCGGGCCGTGAGGGGCTGGGGCCTGGCTGCGCGGCCATGACAGGCGCTGCGTGCTGGTGGCTACATCCATGATCGTCATATAGCAATGACGAGTGCTTCAGACAGTCACGGATTTGAACTCGCAGCCGGGGACAGGGCATCCGAACAACGACCATGAGGTGTCGTCATGAAGAAACACACTCTCAATGTCGTTTGGTTAATTTATTGACAAGGATGACGGCACCCTGAAACAGAGTAATGCAGCAAGATAGCTGAACAAAGTTATTTACTCCATGCAATTAATCAACACAAAATATATTACCACGGAAAAACAGAGGTATAGTAGTTAATAAGAGTATTGTAATACTTATATATCAGGTATAATATATAGTATCAATTATAATAGTGGAAACGTTTAGCATGATGAGTGGGACGAGTCTCAACTCAGAGGCGGAGTGAATGAACAATGTTTGAATAAAATGGCCCGCCTCGGCACTACCGGGTCAGAGCACGCATAACGCAGCGCAGCAGTGACACTGCCCTCTAGTGGCCGGATAAACTCTTCATAATGCCAACAAACTGCATCGTGGGAAGCGACGCGGAGTGTTGCTGGCGTGGCTCGCTGCAAAAGCTGAGCAATGTTCAGCTTTCGACGCCTCGGCAGAAGCGTCAGCCAATCGAATCATATGCCAGTACAAGCTCTAGCCAATCAAACCGCTGCTTGTGTGTCAGGGGCGGGAGGTTCATGTGATTGGTTGTTGGTCGAGTTTCAGACACGCACGCCGCTGTGTGGACGGGCTGTTACGGTGCTGTGTACCGGAGAGGAGAGAGAGAGAGAGCAGCGAAGGGGGGAGAGAGAGAGCAGCGAAGGGGGGGAGAGAGATGTAATATGGTTTCCTGATAAACGTTTTGTTTGATAGACTTCAGCTGTGGAGAGTATATGCTGCAGGGAGGTGGATGCACCTCGCACAACGCACCCAGGAACGAAAGCTAGCTCTGGTCCTTTTCCTGTGGACTCGATGCCCTGACAGGCTGGAGTTTGTGCAACCTGCACAAACACAAGCTCACCATGATTAAAAATGGTGAAATGCAATGTAAAATTACCGAAAAAATACCAGCTCACTAAATTACAACCGCTCAAACCAACTACACACTACTACCGCGGATTGGGCAGAGAAGGAGTCCGAGAAAGTTGCTCCCCCATGTGACGTAATATGACGCGTTTGACGTTAAAAAAAAGCTGTTTTTAGTAGCAGAGCTCAAAACGGCTCCTTTCCCTCTGAATTCCTGCCCTTATGTCTTGTGAAACATATCAAATCCTGCATTAACAATTTTAATTTTCAGGCAAGGTTAAGCACAAATGTAATGCATTGCAAGTTGCTCTTTAAGAACTCTATAACATGTTTTTATACTGTTCATGCTCACTGCCTGTAGCACTTTGGGATTTGAAGTCAAATATGAAGTGCTTTATAAATGAAACCCATTATTATTATTATTATTATTATTATTATTATTATTAAGAAGGGACATCAGCATAGAGTTGCACTCCCGATCAATATTGTAGTAAAAATACTTTCAGACCATTTCAGTAAGAGAAAAAGCCACGCCTTTCTATGTAAGTCATGCAAGTAGCTTTAAAAATAAGCTGCATAAAGTACATGGAGGCAAACTTTGGCTCATTTAAAGTAAAGACCTGATTTTTAGAAACTAAGCCCAGTAACGCATTTCACATTGTAGGGCTTATTTTTTTAACCAAAGGCTTCCAGGGCTAGAGATATGCCTTCTGTGTTGTGCATGTGATGCAAATTAATGTTTGTAGTATGTATATTATATGCAGGTATGTTTTAAGTTTAGTATAGTAGTACTCACATGCTGTATAGTATGTGGATTTACTAAGGAATTGTGTGCTGTCTCAGTTGTTGTCTTAGTGTGAGTGTATCTTTGTTTTCCAAAATCATACAAACCTGTCAAAGCTGATCTTGATGGAGCTGCCAGGCTCAGCCTCAATGACCCACTCACAACTCAGAGAGTCTTTGTAGTAGCCCGGCCACCCCGGGGAAAGAAGGACTCCAGACGGCCCTGAGTAGTGGCCCCCGCAAGGAGCTGGAGGAGCACAGAGATGGAAGAAAGAGGGGAAGAAAGGAAAGCAAAAAGATTAAAGACGTAAAAAGGTATAAGTGGAGAGGAGAGGGGTGGAGAAAAGTTGTTTTAAAGATAACTCAGCGTTTAGTACCTAACTTAAAAGGGAAAATAAATATAGGATGATTCACCAGAGATTCCCTCAATTTTATATTCCTCTTCTAACTCAAAAGTTGACAAATCTTTCCACCAACCACACAATTATTTGCTTATTCATTTCAATACCTTCACATTTGGGAATGAGTCCACTCCACATCCCCTTGCCTTCCTCCAGATGGCATGTGATGGTGTCAGCCCCCTGTGTCTTGATGAAGCCCTCCTCACAAACCACTGAGATGGAGCTGCCCAGTTGGAAACTGTCCCCAAAGCGTCTGGCATTCAACGGTATGCCAGGGTCAGGGCACTCGTTACGCCCAAAAGCTGGTAATGAGTAGAAAGAGAACAAGATCCAGTGACAAATGCTGTTGTGTGAATGAGAAATGGGGTCTTTGAGGAGTCTGTAGATAAGGGAAATGGATGTTTGTATCCTTAGGAGAGAAAAAACAGACGTCTGCTCTGTACACCTGAGGGTGACAATAGCTTCTGTCTTTAAAGCTTGCTGTTCCTCTCCAGGAGTAAAGATTTACAACGGTGTTGCGTAAAGGAATGAGGAACAAGAGTTAGGAAGTGTATGAACGATCCTAAATGTTGTGTTTTGCTTTGTTAAGGCATGCTAACTTCATTTGGGGAGTGATGTCATAGCATTTATCTTTACAGCGTCAGCATTAATTAAAGGACAAGTGTATGCTTTGTGAATGAGAACGTGTGAATTCACACAAATAACTGAAACTAATTAACTTCATCCCGTCATTTACCATAAATAAGATAAAACTATTAATTTGCACTTTACTCTGGATTATTAGATTTTCTTTGGTTAGCTTTAAGACAGTCCTGTCCTGATGTTTGCAAAGAGAAATGTACCCTAATCCCTAACCATGAAAGGGAAATGGAGGATGAAATGCTTTACTATGACTAAATTGGTCTGAATTAAATGGATTGAACAGGTCCTTACTGCTATAGGTGATGTTAAATCCTCGCCCAGACATAGAGTGATCAGCCTGAAACTCCAGCTGCAGCACGTTGCTGTTGGACGTCAGGTGGGAAGGAACTTCGGCCCCTGAGAAGCGTCCGAGTATTGTTGCTCCTGACTGGTCTCCATCTTTGATAGTGAGGAAGTCGTAGGGAGGCTCTAGGTCAAAGTCATTGAAGGCCAGGTGAATCCTGGAGCCAAGCTCAGAGATAATGAGCCACACACAGTTGAGGTTGTTTCCATAGCCCTCCGGGTAGTCAGGAGACAGCACCGTCCCCATGGGAACGGTGAAGTTGGAAAAGCAGGGGACTGTGTGTTAAAGAGGATAAAAAACATCTTAGAAATAATTTAAAACTCAAATATCCCAGGTGAGGACATTTGTTTTATAGCTTCTATCACTGGTCTCTTGACAATGTACACTGTGCATTCTGCAATGACAGGGTCCGGCAAAAAGATAAGTATAGAACAATGTCAGCGCTGTAAAACTAGCTCAGCAATCAGATGACAGCTCTGCTCCCATGGGTGCTGAGCAGTATGAGAAACATAGAACTATAAGGCAGATGGATCAGAAGAGTCAGTGTACAAATATACAGACAAATAGCAATATACATGTAGGGGCACAGGAATACTGCAGTGTCCCAATGGAACTGAAACTAGAATTGTGTTACGGATATGGGTTAGGTGTTATTTAACTCATAGAAGGAGTGCAATTTGTTTGAGAAAGGACAATATACAATGCAGGTTTTCTTTCTCCTGGGTATTTGAATAACACTACAGTAGTCCACTACATACCCTACTTTCTTCTCTAACAAACCCACCCTACATAACAAGGCAACCATATCCTATCAATTTCCCATTTTATATTATTGCTGTTTAAATCAAATGCACTGCACGGTCATTTAATAACACTGTGATTAATCCTCCAATAAGTTAGTGTCATTGTGAACTTTCCAAGCCCATAAGTAATTGCTTCATTTGCTGTCCTGGAAAAAAAATGCATCTATTGGGCTCACATATGCAGATGGGGATATTAGCCGACCACTGATTGTTGTTCTGGCAGGTTATCATCTTCTCGCCGATCAGCTCGAATCCAAATTGGCATTCAAAGCGCAGAACATTTCCGTTTAGAAAGCCACTTCCCTCTTGGTAACCATACAGAGGCGTACCAGGGTCACCACAGCTCTCTTTGTCAATTTCTGTGGGAGATGGGGGTAGTGTAGAGAATGGGGGAAGGAAAGAGGGAAAAGGGAAAAAGTATTAAGTCAAGCTGAGTACTTTTCAGAGGTTTTCAAACATTATCTATAAAGGTCCAGCAGGTGAAGAGTCGGAAAGCCGAAGGGGGGGGGGGGGCAGACAGAGGGCAGATTAGGAACAGAAAGGCAAACAGGAAAATGGATATGTTGCTTTACTGGAAGCGACAAGTCCCATGAGCAGAGCATGAAAACAAGGACAGGGACAGATGATATCAGACACTAAAGTCTGTGTACCTTTATTAGTTGTTCTTGAAGCCACTCGAGCCTACCTCTCATCAGACTGGGAGATGAGCCCACATCTGATGGACATGCTGGACAATACAGGTCCGGGACAAAGCTCCCAGTCAGCCTGCAGATAGCGGCAACAAAAAGTCCACTAATCGGTATCAAAACCCGCTCTGAAACTCATGTGACAACGGAGTAATATCCATGTGTCCTAACTTCATGTGTAATGTATTGAAACAAAAACGAAAAACAGACTGTATAACTGTATATTAAAGGGTATTACAGGGTTTACAACGCAGTCTTCTTGAGAATGTGCAGTCATTACATTCTAATAGACGGTGTTCGGCATATCATGCTCAAACATTATGAAAACAAATGTAGATCTAGGAACAGCTATGAACATAATTTAACAAATTGCGAGCAATATCAAGTTTCGGACTATATTTCCAATGGAGCAAGTCATTTGTACTTACACTTGTATTATTTTCTGTTTTAGAATCCCTACTCCCCTCTCATCTCCGTATTGTTAGTGGAATCAACCCAATCTCCTAGGTCGAACTTCTTCAAAGTTGATCTGAATAACCTGATAAAATAAAAAGATATCTGTATCCCCTGTCCTTTGACTATGAGTTATGATGAAGCATCGGCAGTGCATGTGAACTTTCTAAAAACGTTCTGTCTGTTATCCTACAGTTGAGGATGGTTTCGTGTGTTACGGAGGATGACCCATTGTTGCCCTGACAGGTACATCTTTTTTACTGAGAGACTGTTTCTTCTTGGGGATTTCCTGGTGCACTGTTCTTTGGCAAAAAGACCGAAATGTTTTTTGATCAAAAACCAAACGTAAGACTTTCCTACTTACCGTTTATTCAGAGTAGCTGGCCCTACTATAGAGCTACATGTCTGCTACTGGTACGCAAAATCCACTCGTGTTTTGAAATAAAATGGAAGACAAAACACAAGATATTAAACTTGTATTAAATGTGGAGTGGTTTACTAGATGAAGACAAATTCCCTCGTTCACTGACATCACCCCTCAAACAAAAGATTACCCATAAAACAATATGGAAAAATGACAACAGCATCTCTTCACAGTTACTTGTGAGTACAAAATCAAATATGCTTGAAAAACCAATTCTAGCAGAGCAAATCTAAGAATCTTAAAACTGTTTAATTTCCTGTCTGCATTCACCCTTCAGATATCCTCGTCAGCTTCACATGGTTAAGATCTTTTCTCCATTACCAAATGTAACATCACGAAAGATTACACTTAATCAACTGATCAAGCTGGCAACAGCCTTTTACACTTATAAATGTTTTCTCTGCCCTAGATGAACAATATTAGCATATTCATTTATCTCACTCCCTGCCACCTTACTGACACCAATGGTGAGCTGACTGCAATCGATAGGAAAGATTGGACGATCGACGGTGTCACTTCTGTTAAATGACTTAACATCATGATGTGATATCTAGCTTGTCATCCTTAATTAAACATCGCCTTTCCCAGGCCATTATGGGAGGACCACATGCCAGCATCAAATTCATTATCCAATGTTATAACAATGACCTCATTTACCATATCTAACTAGCTAGTCTAGATACTGTCCTTAATTGCCATTAATATACATATGCTCTAAGTAAATTCAGTGCCAAATTCAATTGGAAACTGTCACACCCATACCTCTCATGCGCATTCCTTCAAAAATACAAAACTGACATGAATCCAACAACCAGTCAGCCCCTTCCCGGTGCTTCCACAAACCA